GCGGACGCTTTGCGGACACAACGCAACGAACTCGCGTCGCCTCCTGGACCCCTGGACCCCAACCTTAAGACGGGAACCCTTCTGCTACGCATTCGGGAAAAAAATGATGAAAATACTGGTGAAAAACATAGTAAAGTGATGTAAAAAAGATGACATAAAAACATGAATATGATATAAATGATATAACAACGATGTAAATGATATAAGGATCATAGAAAATGATAGAAAATGGAGAAACATTTGAAAATGATTAAAAATGATGGACAAGTCCAAAATTCCTCCGCGCCAGAGCCAACAAGCAAAAAATACAAATCAACAAAAAAACTAGGCAACCAAAAATAATCAAGCATTCTGTTTCACACCACTTCGGAATAGTCAACAAGAAAACTCTAGGCCAACCTTCACAGAGGGTATTGGATCTGAGGAGTGACAACGAAACGTCTGCCAACAGCCGTTCACAGGGAAACCCGATTCTTGGTGCTGGATGGGTTTGCAACCTGATGTTGAGAGCCTGGGACAGCATTCTGACCCAAGCAATTAAATGACGCAAGCAAACTCATGTTCTCCAAAAATTGTGAGCCGCAAAATTTCATGTAATGGTTTTAGACTAAGCGTCTGCAGCGTGCAGATCAAAGAAACCAACGTCGAAGAAGCGCTGCTGTAAATTTTCGAGTGCGGTCCCCTGCTTCAATATGCAACAAGGTGTTCTTGTTTTTGCTGCTTGTGGCTGTGCTGCATGGCCGCTGCCGCAAGATAGCATCTGCTTTGGCCGCTTCTGGGCTCCCTTGGAACCTCCCTGGATATCCTGGACTTGGCGGAGCAGCCTGACATCCAAGCAAGCCAAGCATGTTGACAATTCAGCCCAAACAGCCGTACTCCGAATCAACTGCACGGAAGCCTCAGACTGACCTGAATACAGTTACCAAGTAGTTTTCAATCCTAACACACGAGCAATTGACATTGAATTCCACACCCGCATTGCAAGGCACCTCAGGGTCGTCCAAATTTGTAATGCCATCTTCACTGCACTCCGTTCTGCACTCAATTATTGTTGACAGCGTACTCGCCCCAGATAAACGTTCAGCTGCTTTCCTTAGTTTTGCTGTGGGGACGATCGAAATGCTTGGCATGGCATCGAGTGAAATGCTTCGGCAATACAACCATGTGTGATAGGCATGATTCATTAGGTTGCGGACAAGATGCTGTTCCCACTTCTGAATCCTCTCTGACCGCACGCGCTCGCTCGGGCATTTGAAAAGCTTTACCGTCCGACTTTCTGCCTCTTTTGTACTGGATGGATGGATCTCGGCCGGGACACATTTGGTCACCATTAGGTCATCAGGGCGGACTGCAAAAATGTTGCTGCCATCACCAGGAACCACTAAGGCTAGGAGTTGTTCCTCAGAAGCCTCATTCTTATCACCTGCACGGACAGCATGAATGAAGAGATTGGCCATTTGCTTCCTCAGCTCCTGGAAAGTAAAGGTGATCGATGTGTCCACAGCCTTGGGCTTACGAGATTTGGAGCCGACCTGGACCAAGGCCATGTCTTTCAACATGTTCACAACACTGTGGGAGACTTCCGCCTCCGGCAACTTGTGAAGTCTGGCCCAGTCCAGCAGGCAGTGATGCTCGCCGAAGTAGGATACCCAATCTGGTCGAATCTGGATCAGTCGAGAGCCGTGCACCATGCGCGCCATGTAAAAGGACTCCTCTGGATGCAAGCTGCGCAGGACAGCAGCGCGGCCGTTGTAAGAGGAAGCATGCTTCTCAGAAGTCGCACAGGAGATGAGCACCAGGTAGCCCTCAGGCGCCTGGCAAGTAGCTGAAGCACAAAGACTCGCGCAATGCAGTTTCTTGCATCCCTCATGGACAAATCGGTAAGCACAAGCTCCCGAAACACAAAGGTTCCCTGCACAGGGCTCCTCGGGCTTCAAAATGGCAAGACTTTTGTCGAGGAGCTTCACGTCCTTTAAAAGATGTCACACGCAGCATTTCCAAATCAAATACATGTGATTTGGGTCAACACGGCAAACTGGAATGCAACTACTATTACTCTCTTCAGCCAGCTCGAAAGAATCTTGCAGCAGATTGCGCTCACCAGCGGTTGTGAAAGATGAAGCAGCGCTGACAACAGAAGCTGAAGCATAGGAAGCACAACCCAAAACCAGCAAATCCTGGAGCTTCAGCGGGGTGGTGTTGATCTTCAAGGCCTGTGCTTGCTTCCTGAAGTACGCTCGGGTTCCAGCTTTCAAGACAAAGCCATGCTTATATAACCACATACCGCCAAACTTCGACGCATCGGTCTCTTCACCTTGGTTGGAACGTTTTGAGGGAGTACAAGCAGAAGTATGCTGAGCGACTGAGAGCAACGCAGTCTGGCAAAATCTCGTTGAGGAAGAGTTGGCTCTCCACAGGGAAAGCCAAGCATACCACATCTGTGTCAGCAAAGCCCTCAATGTTATTGCAGTGGTAGAGCAGAGCTTCAATAAAGCATCCTTTCAAGATGTCTTTGTGGTAGGATTTGGATCTGCTTTCATTTGTGTTGTGGTAAATTTGCCAATCCACGATGATGTGGCAGGTGGCCCCGTATTGCAGAACTGCCATGAAGACTTGCCCAAACCTGCTGGACCATTGCTGGTCTGTGCACTTCTTCGATGCTGGGATGATGTTATAGCAGCTCAGGATCTTGTCCCATTCCTGTGCAGGCACCTCTTCCAGGACCCTATAAAGTGCTCCTCGCCGCTTCAGCGCATGCTTCCCGTATGTCTTGCTATTTGCACCGTTCAGGTCATAGAACAAGGGAGCTGCAAGCACATTTTCCACGTGCAGCCACCCATGAAGAAGGTGACGACAGCGGCTCTTGCCAGTGTTCCGGGCTGCTAAAGTATTTGAACCGGTCCAGCGATCCGTGTTTTTGCTCTTCTTCTGCATCATCCTACAGAGCGTCAAAGCATGTGTCAAGGCTAACTTAAGCTGTTTGAATGTAGGCAGACAGGTAGGCAGGCAAGCGGAAAGAGCTACAGGTAAGCTGTGCTTGCGACCTAGACTAGCTACTTGCGCAAAGCGTGTCCTTGCAGGCTTGAAACCAACCGTGCTTTCAGCAGAGCTCGCGAGGTTTTCCCTCCGCTTTAGACGGGAAGCCTGAAGCATCATGGATTCTGCAAATTCTGCAGAACTGATGGGCACCGTAACATGGACACATGACATCGAACAACAAACACCAATGCTGCAAAGCAAGTCCTGCCTGCTCAGAAAGCATGTGTTGAATCACATCTTTCTTCTGAAAGTCGACTTCCGGAATTTGTAGCGAGGTATGGTCCGAGCTGGCTCGATGCAAAGAAACTTGACAAATGAGGAGGCTACCTCGCACCTCAATATCGTCTTTACATTCGACCATGGTTCTTCTGCCCTCGTGCCGGTGCTCAGCAGAAGGTGCCAGCTGGCAACCTACATACGGGCGCCCGTCACACCACTTCGGAGGATCGCCCGGCAGCTTGACAAATGTCACCTGTCCCTCATGCTTGGGATGGAGCATGAGCCAAGCCTGATGCCCCTCCTTGCAGGCCACGGGCGCGTCCTTCGCAAAGAGTTCCTGTACCAGATTATCCTCGGACGTGGTGTCCTTCAGCTTATCTACTATTGACCACGCTCTGTTCCACTCGTATGCTAGCCAGACTTTCCTGCCATCAGACAAGCAGGGATCTGGGAAACGCCTGCCAGTCGCAGGATCTGGAATGCGGACATTTGGCCAGCCGAACTGATTCGACTCGTCTCCGAGGTGACTCACATCGAAGAAGTCCTTCAGCACAGTGGCCAGGGGCTTGTCTTGCTTCTTGCTCTTGCCCCGCTTCAGCTGGCGGACGAGATGAACGCGCCAAAGCATGGTGTGATAGCCGTCCTCTTTGGCGCCAGGAATTCTCCGGCATCTCAGCCAAGTCGCGACCAGCCGCATCAAATCTGCAGCCATGCTGTTTTTGTCCAGCACAGGCTTCAGCCAATCACGATGTTTAACCTGATGTCAGGTCATCCACCAGAAAAACTCGTTCCCCTTATCTTCATAATTCAATATTGGCAGCAGCACAGTTGTGGTACCTGTTGAACTGCCGGCTACGTGCAGACAAGGACTGATAAGTCAGAAGATTAACCCACTAGGAGGGTCAACGACTCAAGTCATAAGGCTTGAAGTTGTGCAGGGAAGGTCTTGAACCCCGCACATCGCATTTGCCAGGCAAAAAAAATTGTCAATCCTCATGCAACGATATCCTAAACTCATCAACATCCCGACGGCCTCAGCGCTGCCGCCGCCCATCTCTACACTAGTTATTTCTCCTTCTATCCTTGAAACTACAAATGTTGATACCCATATCACGCCACATCTGCAGTAGGAATTTGCTTCAACTTGAGACCACGTCACTGAAAATTGCTGGTTGACGGAGATTTTGCAGCAGACCTCCATGTCTCGCGGATCCCCAGCAGACTGCACCTGAAGGAGATATCTCGTTCTGGTCGTTTGCCACAATATGGTGACGGGACCCCAGTATAGGGCCCAAAATACTACAATCCTGATTATGGGTGAGAACCCCCAAGAAGGTACCCCTAACTTTAGGAAACCCCCATATAGAACCAAAAATGCTAGTCCTTAGTTGTTCGCCACAATACAGTATAAACCCAAAAATGCTATAGTCCTTATTGATTATTATAAGGACCCCACAAAGGGACCCCTAATTTTTCCCAAATCTCTTTCCATTCATTTGGCGCAAGGTGACGGCATAGAAAAAACTTCAACGCACAATCAGGAACACCAGCATACACTAAGATGAGCAACACGCTACACCAGCACCAGACGTTTAGACCTTTCCAAAGGCTAGAGTATCAGGCTTCCTGCGCTTCAGGAAATCTCTCACTGAAATTTACGCCAGTGACAAACCTTCTGGACCCGAGAATGCGGTGGGAATGGCCGGTCAAAATGAGGCACACTGGACCCCAACAAGCCCTCGCCATCCCGCGCCTGTTCCTGAAATCTCTGTATAACCCAGCATTATGTGATTCCTAACAGCAGGGCCGCGAACGAATAGGAGAAATCTATCAGCGAACAGCCTTCACGAGCATGGTCGGATTCTCAACATTTTTGGCCACCCTCCCATGATGGTCCTGACAAGACCCGACCACCTTAAGGGTCACATGGCTTGTTTTGGTGTCAGATTGCGGGGCTCTTGTTCTAAAAACTTGGGTTGTCTGTCAGTCAAGGCAGCCCTCATCTTTCAGAATGTTCAGCTACGCTGGAATACGGCCTTGACCAGGGTGATAATTGACAAAGGTTGTCAGGTGAAACTACCAAATATGCTTTGGGAAGCAACCGCGCTCATGGCTCAGCATGCCAAGCTTTAGGGCTGTCCTGCAGTTTGGCAATGATCCGCTCAAGAAGGTCTGCAGCTGCATGCTCCGCCGGCTCTAGCTCTTCTGCAATAATTGCGAAATCGAGGTCCTTCCAATTGCTAGCAATCATCTACAGTGAAGAGATCAGAAAAGTCAAGTCTCCACATGAAGCAAGGAGACAGCATGGTCAAATGCGCTCAGCGTGATGCCTAACAACACCAACGACTTCAGCTGAGTTGAGCCGAATTATGCTCATTCCTTCCTTTGCCTGGGCGAATTGTTAGAGCTATGCTTCTGAATTCTTTAACCAAGCATCTGAGGAGGCAAGATCGATGCCGCAGCCTGCCTTGGCTCTAGACCCTTGATCCCTGTCTTGCCTTGACGCAAACCCTACCTGCAACCCAGAGTCAGGGCCTTCGTTTGTTGGGTCTGAGAGCAAGGAAAAGAAGTAGGCCCCCAACAAAGCTACAAAGCTTTCGTACATCACGTCAACAGCTTCCGCTTGCTAAGGCTAGGCACAGAGCCCACCAGCTGAATGTCGCGAAGGGAAGGGATGGCGGCTTTCACTGCGCACCTTCCAAAGAATCAGAAAACAGTACAATGTGCAATTTTCAATATTGACGATTCATGTGCCCAGTGCTATTCCATGCCCTAGAATTTAACATCTGGTGTACGATAACACCACAACCACACCACCGCCGCCCCCGCCACTGCTGCCGCCGCCACCGCAGCTACTCCTACTCCTCTGCTGTTGCTACCACTGCCACGATGGCAAATCTAAAGAATTTCAGCGGTCTCATACACCAAAAAAATCTGCCGCAACAATGGAGTAGGGTGTGTAAGGTCTGAGCCATGGGATTGAAGGTTTAGGCACATCAATGACTTTTTTACAGGGTCCAAGATACAGGAGCTCGAACTAGCCTGAGTCTTGACAGGATGGATGACTATCTTCAAAAGTGTGCGCAGGCAGGCAACAGCAACAACCGGCCGTCACGCGCTGTGCGGACGCACCCAGCAGGTCCTCTTAATCAGACCACCCAACAAGCTAGCAAGTCGTTTGTACATCGGCGACCGCGCGGGCCAGACGCGGGCCATGCCCGTCCAACCCACCGCCACCTCTAGGCCGGGTCCTCGGACCCGAGCGCAGCGCGCATGAGGCCAGTCGCGTCTCCCCTTTCCAATTACCACCAGTAACGCTGCTGAACTGCAGTTACAAAAGGCAGCGTAGAAGCACTCCTCGTGTTGACGGCCAACAGGCGGATGAAAGCAAACTGGCTTGCTGTGCGTTCCAAGTTGGGATAGTAATGCTGAAATGCAAATTGGTCAGAACCCCTACCCTGCCACCTCCCCATCCACCTAATTGCGCAAACGATGCACAAGGATTTGCAGGAAAGCGCACCCCCTCGGCACATGATGGAATTTAGCATCAAATCTAAACATCTTGTGCGCGGCATCTAGAAATATTGCTGATCATTACAGAATCTCCTCCAGGCCTGATATTCTTCTCGACTTTTCCCTTCCACTCCTGAGCGCTGGTGGACTCCTCGTACCTTTGCAACATGTATTCCACAAACAGTTCCGGATTCCCCATGCAGACCAGAACTCCAAGTATGCTCATTCAGAGCTTGTGGGATTTACAGGCGCATGGGCAGGAAGAAGGCACCATAATTATGCTGCAACTTTGAAGAAAGTAAACACCACCGACTTACTGTGAACAGTGCAGCTCCTATTCAAGTTTCAGGGATTTCGCTTCGTGCTCGGATTTAAAGTTGGAAGAGCACGGATGAACCCCACTGGCCAGATACCAGACACCCCTCATGTCCGAAACGGTATGTTGCTATACTCCACTAAGTCGCGCATTCATGTCTAGATCCATGGCAAGTGCTTGATCGCACGGGAAAGGAAGATTTCCCTGTGGAATGACAAGGGAACGGGTTTGGCAAGTCACTGATGTCAAACGGGGATCCAGGCTTCCCACAATCTCACACACGCCAAGTAATGCACCAGAAACTTAACTAATCATCTGTTATAGGTTCCTCCACCTGAACTTTTTTCAGTGTTCTACAGTACCAGAGCTTCTCCGTTTCTACTTCGATGCCAACCCAGAACCAACTCAGAAACTGCCACTGAAGACTAGAGCTCGCACCTTGCTGTGCGTGAATATTGGCCAGGTATGAATGGACCGCTTCAGCTTTACTCAAGATCACTTGGCTTGATCAACTGATGTCAGCTAGTCTCCAACTCTCTGATTATGCGCCAGATTCTTGTCAAGCCACAACTTGCGTGCCAATGCGTCAAGTCCTTGCATCACGTTGTACAAAGCACTGCATGCAAAGGTATCGCAGGAATCATCAGCGTGGATATGTATTGAAAGACAGCAACACAATAGCAACATGCATGTCAAGAGTGTTAAGTGTTTTGAGGGCAAAGCCGTCACACACACACACACACACACAGAGACACCAGTGGCTGATGTTTTTTATGCGCATGAAAAACATCAGCATTAGCAAGCTGAAAGCCCAAAGCCATCAAGTGACCTTGAAGCGTCGAAAGTTCTGTCCACTCTGGCTCGCCCTGGCTGCCTGATGCTGTGTCCTGTCAAAGCATAAGAAACGGGTAGCAGTTTCCATTTTCTTTTCCAATATCCCTATAATATAACCTCTATATATAACCCCTATAGAACCCCATAGTATTGAAATAACCAACGTTGACTGTGTGTCAGGATCGCGCAGTTCGACATGTCCAGATTGTAAACCCCCTGGCCGTCCTGAGAAACAGTTTCCTGCCCAGCAGAGCTTCCGGCGGTGGTGGCACAACTCTCAGATTCTGCCCGCGGAGTGTCCACCGGACTGGATTCGTCCTTCTCCTCCTTCCATATCTTCTGAATACACGGGAAGTCCTCGAGCTCCGAGTCAGTGTCCTGAATGTCTGCCCACCTTTCGCGACGCGTAGAAGACATGGCGCAGGGTAGCAAACCTTCGGCAAAAGCCTCTTTACGATGCTGTGTCCTGATCTTGTGTTGCATGTGGTATAGGAACAGCTGACTGATCCGTTTTGAGCATGTCTATCTAGACTGGTCTGCTTATGAACCATTTAAACAGCATGATCAAGAAGGCTTCAAAGTCCACTCGCTCCATATGAATACCTCTTGTGTAGATTGTACAAATTTGTCATGGGCCCTCATCAAGTTCCGAGACAGCTGCGGTCGATGCACGAGTTCCTATAGGAGCACCGCCTGGCCAAGCGCAGACACGCACACTAAGATTCATTGATTCCCAAAACCAACTCGTCAGATTTGTCAATCCTCATCTCCCCCTGTTTCCATCTGTACTACGTACTTCCCATGTTTCAGTCTGCTGCTTTCCAGCACTAAGCCACTAGCTTCACTAAGCTGCAGCTACAACAAGTCTCGTCTGCTCAACGTACTGTAGTAAACACCAAATTTGCCGCTTAAATGGGGATTGGCCTGCTCTTCTGAAATTGCATGGCTTTCACCTTGCGCAGCTCTGTGCAAAATGCGTCACAGGGTGCTTTGTGAACATCCGGACTGTCACAAGTAATCCTACCAAAGCTTATGTGGAAAGAACTTCGCAAGACGCTTAGGTTGTCAAACGAGGCGAGTGAGGAGCGCCTCGAGATGCGAGGGTCATTGAGGACAGGGTGACGGGTTTGGGCATGGAAGACGTTCCCTCAAACAGGAAGCTGCGCTGATTAGTCGTGAATAGGAAGATACATGTTTTCATGTTGGAGACCTCCTCCCCAATTAATGCTTGAGAGACATGCCGAGACGCACAGGGAAGGGGGGGGGAAAGGAACGAAGGAAGGAATAGGGTGACGCACTTGAAGCAGACGTCCAACTCGCAGCTAGCATCCAGATGACCCCTGCAAGAGAGGCAGCAAGAGCAAACCGCAAACTACTCGCATGTGATGGTCCCCGCTACAAGAAAAGCCCTCCATGCAAGCCTGGTCCAAGAGCTGCGGTAGCGCAGGCGGCTGCCTGCTCGGATGTTGGATTGCTTTGCGAATGCATGTCATTCAGCTTGGCCATACGACATGCAAAGATGCAGAGCAACTGTTATCCTGAGAGGGGACGCAGCCCAAACAACTGACTTCCTGACACTGACACCGCGATGTGCGAGCAGGGCACAAGGAGGGCATGCAACAAAACCTATCAGGCTCATCCCGAAGGATGTGGCACCCATGATACAAGATGTATTAAGACATGCAGGCTCAGTGTCAAGAACTGGACTCCAGAATCTGACACTGCGTGCACCGCAAAACGTAAGTCCCTTCGTTGAGGGCTCACGTGTGGGCAGTTTTAGAGGCGTCGATCACGAGGGGAGAACATTGATGGCAACATAGTGGCTCACCGAATAGTGATGATGGCGCCTTGGTTGAACATTTGAGGGTTGAGGGATTGGTAGTCATGGAATGTGTTCAGAGTTTAGGGCTCCAACACCCACAAAGTGCGGCTCTGTTTTGTGACTGTTAGGGTGACACCAACTTCGGAACCACACGGATTCTTCCAGGCAAAAGCAATCACTGCACAAGGGAATTGGGGATCTCAATGATGTCCAAGGCGCAGCATTTAAAGAAGGCGCCATCCGCAATGCTCGCCACCGCTTCAGTGATCTCTACATGCTTCAAGGCTCTGCAGTCGCTGAGCAAATAGTTCCCGATGCTGGTCAGGGAGTGCGGCATCTTGAAGCTCTCCAAGGCACTGCACGAGAAGAAGGCTCCGTCCCCAAGGGTTGTCAGCGACTCAGAAATCTCCACGTACTTCAGGGCACTGCACTTCCTGAAGGCAAACCGGGCAATGCTGGTCACGGAGTTCGGGATCTTCACGAACTCCAAAGCACTGCACTGTTCAAAGGCTCTATCCCCAATGCTCGTCACCGATTCAGAAATCTCGACGTGCTGTAGGGCACTGCAGAACCTAAAGGCTGATGGAGCAATGCTGGTCACGGAGTTTGGGATCTTGACGAATTCCAAAGCGGTGCATTGTTGAAAGGCTCCAACCCCAGTACTCGTCGCCGATCCTGTGGTCTCCACCTGTTTCAAGGCCGTGCACTTCTCAAAGGCAGATGACCCAAGGCCCGTCACGGAGCTTGGGATCTTCATGAACTCCAAGGCACTGCAAGATGAGAAGGCTTGATCCCCAACGCTCGTCACGGAGTGGGGAATTTCAATAATCTCCAAGGCACTGCATGAAAAGAAGGCTCTGGTCGCAATGCTTGTGAGCTGCCCTGAGACCTCCACCTGTTTCAAGGCTGCACAGCTTTCAAAAGCAGATGACCCGATTCTCGTCACAGAGCTCGAGATCTTGACAAACTCCAAGGCACTGCACTCTTGAAAGGCTCTATCCTCAATGCTCGCCACTGAGCAAGGGATCTCGACGTGCTTCAGGGCAGTGCAGCCCCTAAAGGTTGATGGAGCAATGCTGGTCGCGGAGGTCGGGATCTTGACGGATTCCAAGGCGATGCAACGTTCAAAGGCTCCATCCCCAATGCTCGTCACCGATTCAGAAATCTCGACGTGCTTCAGGGCACTGCAGAAACTGAAGGCAAACCGGGCAATGCTGGTCACGGAGTTTGGGATCTTGACGAACAGCAAGGCATTGCACTCTTGAAAGGCTCCCTCCCCAATGCTTGTAATTGAGCAAGGGATCACGACGTGCTTCAGGGAAGTGCAGCGCCTAAAGGCTGATGGAGCAATGCTGGTCGCGGAGGTCGGGATCTTGGCGGATTCCAAGGCGATGCAATGTTCGAAGGCTCCACCCCCAATGCTCGTCACCGATTCAGAAATCTCGACGTGCTTCAGGGCACTGCAGAAACTGAAGGCGAATGCACGAATGCAGGTCACGGAAGCGGGGATCTCAATGATCTCCAATGCACGGCATGAAAAGAAAGCTCTAGCCCCAATGCTCGTCATTGACGAAGGGAGCTTTACATGTCTCAGCGCATGGCAATTCATGAAGGCACCTTCCTCAATGCAGGTCACTGAGTCGGGGATAATCACCTCCTGCAAGTTGTGACAAGCTTTAAACGCCTCAGTCCTGATGGTGGCTGTACCAATTGGGATTTGAACAAAAACCAGCTCACGGATTGGACCTGACCGGTTGTCCATTGCCTGAATGATGTTCTTGTCGCGGACCATGGTCAAGTCCTGCGGTTCCCAAACACACCTGTCCGGTGCTAAGATTTCTGCGGTCCGAGTTACCAAGCTCGAGCGGTAACCAAGCGGCAACTTAATGCCCAAAAGTTCCACAACCTTAGCAATGGTAGTGCCAGGCTCCACCCGGATCTCCGTCAATGATCCATTGAGATGTTGAATGCCCACCTCGATCAGAGCTCTCGTCATGGCATCAGCCACATCAGTGGCTTCCCTAATCTTGAATCTTCAGAGATGGCATCAGGGAATGCCTACACTGCAGATCTTTGAAAGCAAACCCCCTCAGCCGGAAGAGTCGAAACCCAAACGAGGCTTCCTGAGCTGGGGGATTTCCCGCCATCATCAAAACAGCCTAAGCCTCGCAACTTGAAAATCACAAGGGCCGAGAGTGAGCTTGGAAACTAACAGCCTCTGCCAAAATACTTAGAGAATACACACGCCCATCCAGGAATGTGCACCCCGATACCTCACAACCCTAAACTCCAAATCAAATTTTTTCAGGGCGAGGTACACCATATTGGTGCTACAAATGCGGTCACTGTGTATAGATACCCGAGGCAATTTTTAGATCCTCTAAATAAATCGGAGATCCCTGGTTCTCCTGCTCAAGAAATTGAGGCTTCTGGCCCAGACAGCCCGCGAGCCGCCGAGGCCTCTCGGGCCATTAGTTGTATTCACAAGATCCCGCATTGTGGTCAAGCCACTGAGAAAAGTATGTGAATTTACGCCTGGAGTTCGAGAATGAAATTTCCTGAGAGCAACTTGTTGCACAGGGAGTTTTATGCGAAATTGGTTTGTAAGGTGTGTGCGATGCCTGTGCCCTAAAGGGGCCGCCTTCGGGCGTGCAGGCGACCTGACCCCCCCTGATAAATCTGACTTAATACTAAGTTCATGTGAAGACAAAGACATTCCAGTACTTGGTGAAATAATAGTTTCCAGTTCATTTTCTATCATGAAGGAGCGCTCAGAATAGACCAATTTTACATGCGATCTGGACCACCCAGAAGGAGTCAGATTTCTCAAAAACACCCCCCTGGGCATGAATGCAGAAAACAATCCCGCCTCAAGGCTCCACCAGTCGGCAACGTGGTGTACAGAGTTTTGACGGTGTGAGGGTGTCGTTATGAAGATTCAATGCTGCTCAGCGTCCCAGGCGCTCCATCAGTTTGCGGTTGACTTATGCAGGCTGCTCTCACTACCATGGCGCGGACACCGATGCGGAAAGGGCTTGAAGCCGAAAGCTAGCCGAAATCCAGACATCAACGACCAGCGAACACCTGCATTGCAAGGGCAAACACTACGCAATAGCTACTTCGGCACATGGTGCTTGCAAGCAACCAAAGACTTGTCATCCCAGAAAAGACCTGGTCGAGACAGGTGGTGAACCCATCTCGTTGGCGATTTGGGATGTGGGACAGGCTGGCGGCGCCTTGGGATCCTAAGGATAAAGGCTCTTGCAAGCTTATGAGAAAGCTGCTATTCTTCATCTTATCTTACGTACTTGCGCCTCCATTGAGCCAGCTTCAACAACAACCAGCCCTCTGGTCTGAAATCTGAAATCTGGAAAGTCTCACATTCCTATTCAAGTTGATGGAGGGCCTCTTGTTCAGCCTGATAGGTTCGAGCAATGACTACTCAGGCTGAAGCTACAAATATTGAGCAACGCAAATACTCAAACATAAGATGATTGAGAACCAAATCGATCCTGGTTGCCTTGCACTGAGCCGCTAACTTGCATTGTCAGCCTTCGGCAATCCTATGAAGGCATCTGCCAAGTCTGATCCAGTAACGGCAATCTCGCCATCAAACCTTAGATCCTTCAGATCCTGCCCTTCAGCATCAGGTCTTAAGTCCACATTGGGCTGAGGTACCCTGTCTGGCCCTCTCTGAGAGAGATGCAGCAAGGCTACAAAGCCGCATACTGCGCTCTGGCATGTGCTTTTGGAAAGTTGCTGCTGTCCGAGCTACGTCTTGGCTTTGGCTAGGTCCTTCAGGATTTTCCGAGGGACCAGCCACCTGTCGCGCAGTCAAAGGATGATTGTACATCCGGTAGAGTTGCCACCTCTGCTTCTTGCCATCCAGAGATTCAGCCTTTGAGACATTTTCTAGCGAAGAGGCCAGCACGTCATAATCCGTCTGCAGGTCGATGCCTGCGCTTTCAAAAGCAGCCGAGAGATGTTGCGATGCCTTGCGCCAAGCCATGACCGCATAGTCTAAGAGCCTTGAAACTAGAGCTGGATGACCCAGCATTTCCTCGCCCAGCAGAAGGCTGCATGCCTGCTGGGAATCGTCGCTGTTCTGCCGACTCATCACTCTCCATAAAGCATCTTCTGCACAAATGGCACAAGCAGCCCAGAACTCCGCCGCGAGGAACTGATCTCCATCCAGGCGTATGGCAAGGTCAGCAGCTGGAACGAGATGCTGTAACCTTTCCTTGAAGAGTCGGCATCGCGAGTTTGGCCATGCTAAGCTGCATGACCAGAGAGCTTTAGAGACCCTCAGCATGTTGTCCCTCTGCCAGCCACCAAGAAACGCCTTACCCATGGCATCCACGCCGATCAAGACCTGCCAATTTTGGGTAAGGCCGTCCCAGGCCGCAGCTTGGTTGGCTGATCGTTCGGACGCGCTGGCCGCGCTACCGCTTGCATCAACCAGATGTCTGCTCTTGGCCTGTTCCTCTTTCACCTTCCAGACCCACTGCTGCAGCAGACTGTCGTACCGCTGCCAAGCGGCATTTTCCTGGCAATGAGGAAACCCGTCCAACGCCTCACAGATGCAGTCTCTTTTGGCCGAAAGGAGCTGACGTGTAGTTTTCTCTTCCGCGTGAAACAACTTGTTGGCCGTGTCCGGAAGTAGCTTTGAGGTATTTCCGCGAACCAATCTTCGAAAGTCCTCGTCATGCCTTGCCTTGCGCCGCTTCGGGTTCAGGACCGTCTTGCTGCAGGCATGACAGAAGAGACACTTGGCAGCATTTTTGCAACTCTCCTTCTTGCCACGAATGAAGAAACCACATGGCTTGACAGCGCCGCCTTTCCTGAAGCATCCGCAGGTCAGGGAGCCGATGGAGTTGAAGGAGTGGCCTCAAAGTATTCACAGCAATCACTGAGGTCTATCTTGGAACTCCAGTTGTCAGGGAAACTCTGTAACCTTCTGGAAACAAGTTGGCAGATATTTCAAGTCTTGCATGCTCCAAACAAGTCTTCTGTGTAACAAAACTCTTCATTTCTCGATAGGATCCCTTCCGTCCATGTCGTCTGCGCAAAAACACAGGTCCTCGCCTGTATAAGGACCTGAAACAGATGTCCACTGCAAGCCGAAAACCCACACCCAACATGTCGCAGTCAGCGAATTGTGCCAGGTTTAGAATCCTCGCATGCGATCGCATTGAACACTCAATCATGCTCTTTGCAGTCGCCACTGCCTTGGCAGTCGCCACTGCGAACAACAGGCTTCCCTGAACAATGAGGAGCCAACAATGAGGAGCCCTGTTATTTCTGTAGACCATCTCCTGGGGTCAGGGTCAACATCCCCATGAAATATGCTAGCAAAAACCCTGACCGGGGAACCACGTGCCAACCCCGCAGGCGCAAGCCAAGCAGCCCCAGCCACCTGGACAGCGCCCAGCACTCCACCCTAGACAGGCCCCTGGGCCGTAAACCCTGAGCCACTGGACCCACCCAACGAAGAAGCGACCTCCAAACACTCAACAGGCGTGACCCCTTTGCGTTAGATCTTTTGGAGGTTCCCAGACAAAGGTGTCCGATTTGTTCATTGGGGCTGATATGACAGGACCCTGAGTTAATGAACCACTTATCCGCCTTGCACCTCAGACATCTGCAGCATGTGGCCAAAGAAGCCTGCCTTTCTCAAGAAGAGATAACTAACGCTGCGCATAAACAAATCTATGGATGCATGCCTTTGTAAACACATCTATGTACCTACAGACATACATGCAGGCAGGCATGAAATGCACATATACAAATATATATATATATGTATACACGGACGCACGTCAAGCGATGCCACAATAAGAAAGATTTCGCATGTTAATTCAGAGTTTAGGTTTCAGATTCCGACGTGATGCACAATCTGCAGGCTTCCAAATACGCCAGAAAATCTTGTGCAGGACTTGATTCTTAGCCTGCTCCATACCTCCAAGTCGATGCTTGAACTTGAAAACATGTCACAGGCGGAGCACGTGCCCTCGATCTAAGCCCGCAGCCAGGAATTCGAATGTCCAGCTTTTGAAGCTTGGGCAGCTCTTGCAACGCTGGAACGAAGTCACTTAAATCCACATCCTCGTCACCTGAGCACAGCTTCGGCCTAGTCTTGGTCAATTGTCTCCATTCTCTTTTCCATTATCAAATTATAAACCCCCAATAAACCTTTTGGTAGTTTCCATTTGATTTTCCATTCTCCTGATTCTAGAAATCCTGCCAGTTGATCGCTAACCAGTCAGGCAACACGAGGTCCCAAAGCTTGCTACACTCCTACGCACGACGCTGGGGCCGACACCAATGTGCAGCGTGAGCTCCCCAAGCTCTTCCATGACTTGTAGCCGTTTAGCCAGCTTGCGCGCTGCATCAACACCTTCAACAGAACAACCCGACCGCCCCTTTCAAAAGGGATACAAACATCCATGCATGCATACATGTGTATGTTATCTGGCAAGTTCAATCGTTGTTTATAGCTGTGGGACGCCAACTCACCCCAGTGCAGCACTTCCTGAAATGACCAACCAGCATTCTGCAAACATCCAGGAGGCCTAAAGTTACAACGAGGAGACCCTGAACATGAGCCTTCCAAAGGCGACGGCAGCTTGTAAACAGTTTGCAGAAAAGCTCCCCCATAGTAACATGGAACCCCAAGTAGCACATGTTCAGAGCCGCTTTGGGGGGTGTTCCACGTTCGTGTGCGGAAGGTGCACAGTTGTGGTGGGGCTTTAAAGGGTTCCTAGTTGCTCCGTCTGAAAAAGAACCCTTTTGGCGGCCTCTTTCTCATGGAAACACCAGACCCCAGGTGACATACTGAAACCCAAATCTCCCTGGCCTAGATGGAGCACAAGGTCTGTGACGTGCTGCACTTCAACGACAGCACGCCAAATCTCTGGACCAGAGCCTTCACAGGATTGCTTCTCCAACTCGCTAATCAGGCTGCATGACTAAACTGGCAAACTCCCCGTTCATCTTTGTACCAACAAGACTGCTGGTAAGAGAGATGCCTTCCATATCCTTCCATGATACGTGTGCCCCTGATGATAAGGCTACACTTGCGCGTAGTGCATTCATGCTGCCACTTCCATGACTGTCTGCCAGAATCACTGGCTTTGCCAAACCTATCTGCCAGATTCATCAGGTACGCTTGAATTTCCAGGCAGCTGACAAACCAGAAACAGTGGTCTGAAGACATACGTCATAAACCATCATGCACAGTGTCATCAACGCAGTCAATCCCGGAAACAAATCAAATCGTTCAGTCCAACTGTGCCTTCTTGGAGGGCAGCAAGCAACTTTCGCTGTGCCTAGCAAGTCAATTCTCCGACTTGGGACCGTGTCTTGGGTCCAGGTTATGTACTCACATGGGAGGGCTTACTATCAATGCGCTGCCTGCTACTATCCATCACTTTTAGTTGATTCGATAGTTGCCGTGGCCCATACAAAGAGACATGTATGACCTTGATCAAGCACAGGGTCGAGGGGCAAAGAGTTGGTCCAGCTCGTGCTGCGTGTTAACTACAGACTGGCCGGAGAGATCACCGTCGAGGGCGTGTGGTAACTGTAAGGATTCGGTCTGATGTCGCTCCTCTGCGTTGCACGGCAGACAAGTCGATCCATCAGAGACATCCTCTACTCCTTCCTCCAGCGCACGTACCTTCAATCAGCAACTCAAGACTCAGCAACCTTCATCTGTTGGCCTACATGGGGACATACGGATAAGTCGGTAAATGAACATTCCCCAGCTATGTACGTCCCAGGAAAAGCGCTGGCATCCCCTAGACAGAGGCTAAGACGAGCCTTAGTTGCACCAATGTTCATAGGGGGCTTCAAGAGGTTCATCAAAGGGCCTCCTGCGGCACGGAAGACACAGAGCAGCTGCAGGTGTCGGCATCGGACTGCACCAAGTTTTCGATTCCCTTGTCAAGCACGCGAATGTCCTTGCAGAAGCAACATATCTCAAAACCTGTACCTGCTGGTCTAGCAGTACATCCTCCATGCGCCTGGAGGCAGGGGGGTTCAAAACTGGATTGAGTCCTTGCCTGCGTGATGGACACTTCTTCTGCATCTACCCAGGCTTCCCGTGCGTCGAAGCCAACCAAAATTGAATCGTCTTTGACTGGCTTAACGCTAGCTTGCTGGATGGGTGAGTCGAGATTTGCTGCCCGCTCTACGCCGATATTTAGGACGGCCTTGCATCCTGGAATAATCTCCTGGACTGGACACACTTCCACGCACAAATCTGAAGTTTTCTCCCCCTTCCAAAAAAAAAATACAATCCAAAATTAACGAAACCAGAATTTGACCTACCCCCCCCCCGGTCTTCACTTCTGAAAAATGCAGGATAGCAGTAGGCTCCTCCGGCAGCGACGAAGACTCCGAACAGCAGCTGTCGGTATCGGACGGAAGGCAGGTAGATCCATCGGAGAATTCCTCTATTCCCTCCTCCTCCAGCGCACGTACCTTCATACAGCAACAACCAGGTGTCAACTATCTTCACCTGCAGCTCTAGCCCAGGACATGACAGCAAGGTCAGGGCTGTCAAGCCCTGCAATGAACGTTTACCACATCAATAGGTGCCGAGAAAGATTTGGTATTTTGTGGACGAGAGGAATTCAAGGAACATTGCTTGTGGCTCGTTTATGGCTTCTGTCGCTGGGTTCACATCCTGACAATCCCATGAGATTATCCGGCACAGTCCCCATGAGCATTTTCTTCGCCTTCTAATTCACTTGGCTGGAAGCATTCATGGATAGTCCTGATTGTAAATTAACCTGAGACACGTTACGGCGTGCACTTTGACATGTGAGCATCGCGCATTCCTGTAAACTTGTTGGGCTCGGGACCAGTAGTCTCAAAATTGAAGCCGACAAATTGGTTTCAGCATCCTGCTTGACGGCACTGCCCAGATTCTGCTAACCCAACTCTAATTGGGCACGCAAGTGCTCCTGCACACTACTGACCTCAGCCGAAGCAAGGTTTGTCGGCTTGCTTGGGAAGTGTCTAATTATAGCGCAGGTCACAAGGGCCACACAAGGGTTCAACGTCAGCTGGTCTCACTTGGCATGCTGGCTCCTTCTATTGAAAAAGGTTCTCGGCTGAGGCATTCCTAAGCACTGCTTGAGGAACGACAGCTAGGCAAGCGAGGTCCCAGCTCAATTCCCCGGGTAGCTGTGCGAGCTAGCCACTGCGGAAGCAGAGGCCCTAGGCTACATGCTCAAGGCAAATTCACCCCACGTGGGCCCAGGGATTCAGACACTACAAAAGCCCGACCAAGCCCCAGGCAAGGAAATGCTAGGGACAGGTCAATCGGACCTCTACCTTGTGCTCTGACCAGGGCTTACATAATTTGCCACTGGTAAGCGAGGAGATCCTGCCGGCCAGCTAGCAAAGAAGAGCACATGCCTGCTGGGCATTCCTCTGACCCCTGCGCTGATCCTGCAAAAGGCCTCACCCTTCGCCCCGAGAAGTTTGAACTCACCAGTTGCCACACTACAGCCTGAAGCGCTGGCAACAATTATTAGTTTTAGTTCCGTGCAGGTGGCTCGCAGGCGGCACAAGCCCCAGCCAAAGGACTGAAGGGCTAGTCGGAGGCCCCCCCTGCGGCCTGCTGGAATGCTCAAGCAAGAGAGCGGGGAGACTGTGATGTCCAGGAAAAAGAATGTAAATCTCCCCTGCTGGTACAAAATCCTTTTAACATCTTTTAACTGGCACAAAGGCAAAAACATCCCTCAACAAGACGCAGCAGTCGGTCTTCTCAACTGTTCCAACCGGAATTGCCAAGAAGAAACCTGCACGGCCACGCTTGCTGGAGAGGCCGATCTCTGTAGAGGCGCACACAGACACAGTACGTCGACATTTCAAGCTACTCCAGATTCACACAAGCAAAGACCAAACCCAAGAACATGCCGGCAGGGTCCCAAAGCATCGCGGGATGATACAGCCCACAAACTGGCCCCAAGCGGAACATGTATTGTATTATGACAAACCACCAACGAAGCAAAGCAAGACGAACCTGGGCGATGCGAACATGGTCTGTACAAAAGCCAGAGTACCAATGCTATGGAGAACCAGACTCTAGCACCAGGAAGTTGCTTTTACTGTGTGGCGTGGACCTCAAACTGGGTCCTAGCAAGCATGGGTTTTGCAAAATGTTCCTCCAGGCATCAGATAGCACAGCATACCACATCTGTGTGGCACATGGCTGAAGCAGGAACTGCACACTAAGTTACAAAAGTAAAGGCCTCACCCACCAAGCTGACAGGACCACCTCTCTGGAACCAAAACTTGAACCAAAGAAGGCACAGCTTGCTCCACATGCTCCATCTCTTGTCCCACCGAAAAAGCTTTGGCCCGGGCAAAGTCATGCCACTACTGGACCCAACAAAGTAAATCGCAGACGTATCCTCAGAGCAGTTCCTTATGCACATAGACCCCAAGTACTACGCACCTGGGCCTTTGCATATCCAGGCATGGATCTTGCTGAGACCCTCTTTGCTTTTGGATTTCAACCTAGTCCAGGCCTCCTCCTTCAAGTCGTAACGGTCTTGCCAAGCTTCTGCCTGTAGCTTGCACATTGGGTGGAGGCAGGGTTGGGAATCGAACCCGAAACTCTGAATCTCCTTAGCTCGAGCATTCAGAGACATTTGCAAGTGCATGCAGGGTCCATTTTTCGGACACTGCTGCCTCAGGTAGGGGCCAAACTTTAATGTTTGTTATCTTTACCTACCAAGTCCGAGCGAAGAAAGGAAGCCATCTTTCTTTCTCACTTGTCATCTTCATCGAGGCAATGCACTGAAGCCAGAAGGGTCACTGAAAACCCTTGGCCCCTGAAAAAAAAATATGCAATTATGTACATTGCCATAGCTTTCTTATGCTTCGGGCTTTGGAAATCATAATGCGTCTAACCCTCAAACTGACCTGGCCAGATAGGCAATTGAATTCTCCAGCTGCGTTGCAAGGCACCTGCTGGGCTTCGAAACTTGCAAAGCCGGAGTAATCTTCACTGCATTCCGTTATTGTCGGCAGCGTAGTTGTTCCAGATGAGCGCACGATTGCCTTCCTTAGCTTAGCTAAACCTTGCACGGACACTGAACTGCACGAGGTAGCAGTAAGTGAATGCTGCAGCAAGACCATGCCTGATAGCGTTTCAGACAAGATGCTTTTCCCACCGCAAAACCCTCTCTGACCGCACGGGCTCTGTAGAGCACTTGAAAAGCTTGACTGTCCTTTGTGTCTCTTGTGGATTCGATGTCTCGATCTCGGCCTCCATGTTTTTGACCGCCATGAGGTCATCAGGGCGGACTGCAAAAATGTTTCTGCCCTCACCAGGCACCGCTAAGGCTAGGAGTTGTTTGGCGGAAGCCTCATCCTTGTCAACTGGACGGACAGCATGAATGCAGAGATTGGCCATTTTCTTCCTCAGCTCCAGGAAAGAAAGGTTACGAGATTTGGAGCCTAACTGGATCAAGGCTTTGTCTTTCAGCATCTCAATGACCGTCTGCGAGACTTCCGCCTCTGGCAACTTGTGAAGTCTGGCCCAGTCCAGCAAGCAGTGATGCTCGCCGAAGTAGGAGACCCAATCTGGTCGAATCTGAATCAGTCGAGAGCCGTGCACCATGCGCGCCATGTAAAAGGACTTTGTCGGATGCAAGCTGCGCAAGACAGCAGCACGGCCGTTGTACGAGGAAGCATGCTTCTCAGAGGTCGCACAGGAGATGAGCACAAGGTAGCCCTCAGGCTCCTTCCCAACTAGCTGACGCAATGAGGTTTCTTGCATCCCTTATGGACAAACCGGTAAGCACAAGCTCCCGACACATAAAGGTTCCCTGCACTGGGCTCCTCAGGCTTCAGAATGTCAAGCTTTGTTGCAAGGTGCTGCACGTCCTTCACAAGATGTTGCAGCCATCACACGGATCAGCTCCAGATAAAAGACACGTGACTCACATGAACACCAAAAGCACGTGCAATTTCTGTCTTTGGCCATCTATGAAGAATCTTGCATCCGGCTACGCAATCTAAACTTCACAGTCGCAACAATCGCGTCTAAAACATGCAGCGACTCTGATCCCAAAGCGCAGCATGCACAAAAAACAAGTCCTGGAGCTTGAGCGGGGTGGTACTAATCTTCAAGGCCTGTGCTTGCTTCCTGAAGTGCTCTTGGGTTGCAGCTTTCACGACAACACCATCCTTATATGGCCATAAACCGCTAAAGTTCTCGGCGTCGGTATCTTTGCCTTGGCTCCAGCTTTTTTGAGTGGAGTACATGCGGAGCATGCTGAGTGACTGAGACCGACACAGTCTGGCAAAATCTCGTCGAGGAAAAGTTGGCTCTCCACGGGAAAAGCCAAGCATACCAGACTCTTTGCAGCAAAGCCCTCAACATAATTGCAGTGGTAAAGCAAAGCCTCAATAACACATCCTTTCACGATGTCCCTGTGGTAGGACTTGGATCTGCTTTCACTGTTGTTGTGGTAAATCTGATAATCCACAACTATGTGGCATGTGTCCTTGTATTGCAAGACTGCCATGAAGACTTGACCAAATCTACAGGCCCACTGCTGGTCTGTGCATAGCTTCGATGCTGGGATGATGTTGTAGCAGCTCAGGATCTTGTCCCATTCCGTCCCATGCACCTCCTCCAGCAAACCATAGAACGCCTTTCGTCGATTTCGGGCATGCTCACCGCATGTATTGCTAATTGCGCCATTCAGGTCGTAGAACAAGAAGGGAGCCGTAAGAACCTCTTCCATATACAGCCACCCGCGAAGAAGGTCCCGGCAGCGGCTCTTGCCAGTGTTCCGGGCTGCTAAAGTATTTGCGCCCGTCCAGCGATCAGTGTTTTTGCTCTTCTTCGGACTCATCCTACAGAGCGCAGAAGCCTAACTGTCTAGAGCTAAGCTCCCCTCCATTCCTCTCCCCTCCCCGCTGTGTTCCTCGT